AGAGAGAGAGAGAGAGAGAGAGAGAGAGAGAGAGAGAGAGAGAGAGAAAGAGAAAGATGAAGACTCAAATAGACTCTTAAAGTTTGCTTACGTTTTTCTTTTTAGCACCATGATATTCTTTGAGCATGTCATTGTATTTTTTCTTGCTCTGCTTTAATTTCTCTTTAACTCTGTCTCTCTTCGGTGTGTTGTGTTTGTGGTGTGCGTGTGAATATTTCTTTTTAAAATTGAAACATATTTGAATGAAGAGTGAAACAGAGAGTAAGAGAGGGAGAGAGAGAGAATGAAGAATAAGAAGCAATTTGAGTATATGCACAAGGAACTCGAATTAATTAAAATTGTTTGAGTCATGAAAAAGTTCGCCTCTTTTCTATTCTCTCATCTATCAACTAAGACGGATCAGCCTAATTATCAGGCTTGCTCAGTGCTGTTTATGTAATGGTTGAATCACAAGACGACGCTGCTGTACAGGAGCAATACAGCATTGCTTTGATTTATACCGTATATTTTATCATAACGGACTGAGAGCATCAAGCCAAAGTGGAACAATTGAAAATGAAAGATGAAAGACAGAGACAACCAAACGAACAAAAACAAATAACACGAACAACGACCATTCGATGCATTGTATTCCACATTTCCGATTCAGATATTTCGAAATTCGATAGCATCAATCAAAATAATTATTTTAAGACCGCTCACCAATATTGTCATTTCAATCCGTGCACGGATGCGGCCGTGATGAAAAGGAACAAAAATTAATTAACTAATTAAGTAATTACTTTATCAGCGTCACCATCGAACGTTCACGTCGAATCTAATTGTAATCTAGCAGCAGCAAATGAAAAGACAAGCGAAATTAATCAATTTATTTCCATTGTTGTGTTTCAATTCAATATCCGGTGGTCATTGGCTCAAAATGCGACGTGTTCGAATACCAGTTTGTTTTTGTTGCGAGTGTGTCTATGTGCATTTGACGGGCTGTTTGCTCATCTCTTTACCTTTTTTTCGTTTTGCTGCACATTCTATTTATTTTAAAGTTGGCCAAAGGCACTGTGATTTGTTTTGAAATTGAAAACGCACGCGGCACGATTGAATACAAAATACCATGATTTACATAAAAAGGGGTATTAAAGTATTTGCGTATCGAGTTATGTACATATAAATAACTCAACTTATTCGCGTGTACGCCTTCTTGAAGTGACAGAGAGAGGGAGAGGGAGACAAAAATAGAAAAGTTTCGTTTTTCAATTTCTGGATGGAATGTGTTCTCGTTTCGGTTGACGATTTGAAATGCGATTGATTGTCAGATTTTGGAAAAGTTTTATCATAAGGCGGGCACAACCAACGCACGTCACGAATCCATTTTCAGACTAAAAATAGTCCTCTATATCTCAATTTTCGGCCCGAATACCATATACACACACACACACTTTAGCTACTCTTCCGATTTATACTCACCTTTTACCGAGTGAAAGAGAGGCAGAGTGAGCGATACGAAAAGTACAAAGTGCCGTGGTATCTTTGACGACAAACGACAACGGCAAAAAAATACGCTCAAAAATAGAATCACATGCAAAAAAGCGCCGAAATGTGTTTGTTCCAAATATTTGTTAACATTAAAAATCTAATTAATAGCACTGAAGAAGAAGCGCTACTAACTGGATTTTTGGATCAGATTACATTGCCACCGACACAGATACAGATACACGTACGCATATGAAATCGAGGACTATCGTCATCATCTCGACTATTCTACATTGATTCTTCTATATTCGGCTGTAAATATTGATTCAATTAATCCTCCCTCCGATCTATTTCCGAGCTCTATCATAAGCACTGTCAGAAGCTCGCACACACAAAGAGAGAGAGAGAGAGAGAGAGAGAGAGAGAGAGAGAGAGAGAGAGA